GGACTGCTCTCCAGCAGGTCAACCCCTAATCTGTACTGATGTCCGGGGTTATTCCTCCCCAAGTGCAGGACCCTGCACTTGCCCTTGTTGAACTTCATGAGGTTTCTCACCGCCCAGTCCTCCAGTCTGTCCAGGTCCCTCTGGATGGCAGCGCAGCCCTCAGGGCTATCAGCTACTCCTCCCAGAATATCGGAATAATATCCCAAAATACTATTTGCTCGCTCCAGGTTTCTTCTCAACACCATTCTTCCAAAGGCCCAGCCTGGATGGAGCCCTCAGCAGCGCTCATGGCGTGGGATGCGCCGAAGCCGCCCCCTTCTCCCAGCAAAGCTGGCGGTGAGCGTTGACGCGGCCGCCCAGCGCCAGGTCCTGCGCAGCTTTTACCAGTGTGGGCGCTGACCGCACGGCCCATCGAGTGCTGGTGGGGAGCGGCTGCCTGGGGAAGCGGCCGCCGAAACCACCTGAGATTCCGTGCAGCCACATGCACGTTCACGCCTTCAGGAACAACAAACAGGAAACTTTGGACTGAGAACCTCTCGTAAGAGAACGGTAGAGAAGGAAAAGATTTTTGCAGCCTGTCCTGGTGCAGGGGCTTCATCCTCCCCAGGATCCTGCTCTCTGCCCAGCTCCCCAGCCTGCCCAGAACCATGTTTCCCGTGACCCCCTGCACTGTCACCCACTGCTCTCACTTCTGCCCCGTCTACTCGTGGCAAACAGAGCTGGCAGAAGAAGAGTTTTCCTGTTGCCTCTTCCGAGGTTTCAGGAAGGGCCATTTTGAGATTTTGCTCTTAAATAAATCCACACGGGGACTGTTGATGAAAGGGCGAGTTCTCCGAGGCAGCGCTGTGTACCGAGGGCTGCTAGTTGTGCGACAGTTCATCGAGGAGCCGGGACGGACCTGGCGCGGCCGCCCGCCCTGGGGACAGGCAGGGGTTGCTGGCGGGCCTAGCGCTGCGGCCCTGGCGCTCCGGGGCCTTCCCGCCGTGGGTGCTGGCAGTGCTCGGGCTCCCCCTTCTCCAAGTCCTAGGTCTGGCCACGCACCGCAGTGAACTTGCTACGTCAGACTGCACTTTCCTTGGAAAACTGCTATACTGCTCGAGAATTTCAATCAAAAAGAACTGGGAAATATTAAGGACTGATAACTACAAAGTTACTAGATAAGAATCTTTAAAATTTATTGGACTAACTGTGTTACATTCAATATTTGATGTGTTTTCCTGGACAAAGAATTGGCATAAATACAAACAAGCCTTTGTGTGCCTTCCCTAAACAAATAAGAGATAAAGTACTAGAGACAAGGGAACATAGTTCACATCTTCGTATTTACATTTTGCCTTTACTTTACAACTTAGCGCCAGGAATATTTACAGAAAAATACAGTAAGAACAAAAAGATCATGTCTTGGCAACATACAGAAATTCATACAAATTGTACATGATTCGAAGCACATGATATCTGGCATTGTCATCTCAACTCGCTCCTGCTAAAACCCACGTGGAAAATGCCCATTCAGCGACATCCCGGTCAGGCGCTCACGGAGTCCCAGCTGCCCCGCTCTGCTGGCCCGAAGCCCCGGCCCGTGGGCCCTCCCGGCAGGACTGGCCCGAGGGAAGAGGCTGCGCGGCCGGGGGAGGCGCCTCCGCCGCCAGCCCGCGCGGTGCCCATGGAGCCGCGCAGGGCGGCCCGCAATTTGCCAAGCCTGTTTGAGAGCACCTTTAAAAAGGTGCTTTTTCAAAACAGCGTCTGCACTAAGGTACTAAAATTTCTGTAATTTCAAGACAGTGTTTAACAAGGTAACCACGTTACCCCCCCGCCACGATTTAACGCTCCATTCAAGGGATGCTGTCGTTGGAAACAGAATTATGAACCCAAACAGAATGGCCTCAGTAGGTAAGAAGCGAAAGTCTCAGTTTGGTTACATGATGTTTGTAACTCAGATTCTGCAGCACTACGTTACATGCTGAAGTCTAGACCACCATCACGCTATACACGAAGAACACGGTCAGTCTTCATCATCTTGGATGAATGAGAACACAAAAACAAGCCACACAGGCTGCAATATTGAAAACTCAATATTGCCAGGCTGTGTGTATACAGAGAACAAGAAAGGAAAAGAGAGAAAAATGGTCTGGATTCTTGACTGTGTTCTTGTGACCATGACCAAGAAAAGTCTTCCTCGCTCTAATGCCTTTGGGGAGCGGCTCGAGGCTGTGCCCTGGGGTCAGCGAAGCCACACGAGTTTGGCCGCTGCCTTGGACGGGACAAAGACGTGGATCTCGCTCCGCGGTCACGGAGTTGGCCCTGGCCTGCACATGCTGGGGCCGCGGGCGCCCCGGGCACCACCCTGGCCGAATGGCAGCTCCTCTGGGAGCCGCCACCGCCTTACCCTGTGCTGGGACCGCCTGGAACACTCACCTTCCTGCACAGCAAAAAGCCACAACTGAGACAGGTCCTACCGCTAATGTGCGACGTGGTCAACAGCTGATTCTGAAAACCAAATTAAGGCTATATTAAGCGAGTTATAAAGGCCTATTCCTCACCTTAGGCTATGGATAGACATAGCGACAGCGTGCACAGCAGGGAACTTCTTCAAAATTTCTGAGAAGTTTTATTATTTTCATTATTACTATTCAGGTGGGTGCCTTATCTATGTTTTAGACAGAATATGGAAATACACCTACGAACTATTCTTCATCCAAGCGTAGGACTTTTTAAAAAGTAAAATTTTCAGGCAATCCGTGTGGCTACCACGGACCTCATAGAAAATATCCAGGGTTCCTCTCAGTATAGATGCTTTTATGATACAGACTTTGTATCTGAATACCTGAAAGAAGCCTCTTTTGCTGCTCATTAGTATATAAACCAATGACTTCGTATATAAGGTACACACTCATAGCTATGGTATGTGTTAAGTTATTGAACAAGTGCAGACACTTGATTGCTCAGTACGTTTATTTTCGTTACACATGCATTGAACATGCCTTTTAGATCGGTGGACTAAAGTGCTTCTGGTCGTTAGTCACTTCCAATAGGTCCATAGGAAAGGTGGGTAAATTTAGCGTCCATGCACTAGGTTGGCATTGGCGAGAGATGTGCGGGGGAACGAGGCTGCGCACGGCGCCCCTCGGCTTTGCCCGGGCGCCGGGGCTGCTTCGTGGCCCTGGGCCACGTGAAGGCGGCGCCGGGTCTGCCCGTACCCTGCCCGCGCACGCGCGGCTTCCATCACCCACCTGCATTCACGTGGAGGAACGGCGGGCACTGCCGAGCTGCTGCGGGGAGTTTGCTCGTCCCCGCGACCAGCAGCTCCACCACTACCAGCCCTTCGGGTCACATCCCGCACGTCCTTTCACTCGCACTTGGGGGGCTTGTGTTGCTGTTAATTCTTTGTGAAAAAACACAGGGAAAGAGAGGAGCAGGGTACCCATCCTTGGTAGGTTAGTAGCAATGAGACAATTAAGACGATTAACTCAGAGCTGTTGCAAAAAGTAACTCACAAGTATCAAAATTAAACAAGTGTCTGGCGTTACTGTGATTCCTATTAAAAAGCCTCTGTAAATGCTCCCTCCTCTCTGAGGAGCTCCCCAAACTCCTCCTTCCAGCCAAACTCTTCCATTGCCTATTGACCAGAGGGAAAGGAAACGTCACCCCCAGGGATCCCAAACTGGGAGCGTTCCCGGGAGCCACTGGGGATGACGCCTGGCTGGGCAGTGCCCCGCGAGCCAAGAGCCTGGGGGTAGCACCGAGACTGGCGATGCCCCCGCAGCTGCCTTCATCTGCCCCTTACTAAACCTGGAGTTGCAAAAGGCTTCCCCTCACACACACACTTTTTAGTCTAAAAGTGGTCTAAAAGAGAAAGAACCCCTCACCCTGCATGTCTTTTCTCAAAGCAATGGCCACCTCCTCGTGTCAAGGACCCAGTCCTGAGGGGCAGCTGGTGGAGCGTGAGCGCCGCAGAGAGGAGCGCGGCCCCTGAGGAAGCAGGGAGCACGAAGGGAACCCGTCGGCCTCCAGCGAGGAGAAAATCCTGCCCAGCCCCTGTGGCTGGGCACAACGGCACCGGCTCCTCCATGGGCAAGAGCTCCTCCATGGCCAAGAGCTCCGCCATGGCCAAGAGCTCCGCCATGGCCAAGAGCTCCTCCACAGCCCTGCGCGGCCGCAGGAGGAGCAGCTCTGAGCCGGGCGCCGCTGCTGAGAGTGGGGAACAACGGCCACACCTCCAAACTCGCCTCCTCTTGGCTTACAGCTCTCGGCGGCCTTTCTGGGCAAGGCAAGTTAATGGAAGAAAGAAGAGCTCTTGAATTGTTTTCAAATTGTTTTAGTCCATTTAATAGGAGCTTCTGAAAAGTGCTGCAGAAGCTACAAAAACTGCTTATGCTATAAATATCAAGCAGGCGGCAGCCCTAGAATCTCAAATTTCAGTCCAGGGGAAGGGAGGAAAGCAAGTGATGTTGACACTTTTTATGGAAACTGAGTAGGTGAAACAGATACTTCCAAATAATTTAACTAGTTGCGTAAAAAAGAAAAAAAAAATAAGAGATTAAAATTAAAAGTGACATTTTGCAACAGACCTGGAAGTCATGACCTTGTCATATGCAGAACCAAGAACACTTATCTAGTAAAAACTTATTCTTGAAAGTCAGGTAGTCTCAGCTGTTCTGTTTATTCTCAGCGTGACAGAAAGCTTGGACACAGACGGACTCACTCCCAGGCGTGGAGGGAACTGCACAATCCCGCACTTGGCTTGAGTGTCGTGACCTGGTGGTTTTGAGGAGCTCTCCTCCCCCCTTGCTCTGGGTTCGCACCGCGGCAGCTCCCGCGTCGCGCGCCCGCCGGGGCTGCGGGTTGCTCCGCTCCCCACGGGCGCCGGTCCGCACGCCCAGGCAGGCACCCTGCCCCACAACAGCCTCCGAGCAGCCCCTGCTCCGCTCCCCTGTAACGAACGGGTGCCGTGAGACGGCCGAGGGCAGGCTCGGCTGTGTGCTATTTTCCATCATTACACGCAGATATGTTTTTGGTTTTGACTGCGTTCTCACAGAACGAGACATGATTCCCAATCAGTGTGGAGTAGATGATTCAGTGGAGAGATTAGGCCGCCAGCATCCAGGAAGACTGGAATTAAGTAATCTTTGGAGGGCGGGTGAATTAAGTCAGTATCCCAACTGCTGGGTCTTGGATTCGCTCCGCGTTGCTCCCACACGGTATCTGCTGACTTGTGCTAGAATACGATTCCTGAATTCTGCAGGGATGAAGAAATTTGTCGTCGTTATTTAACTGTTTTCATCACTGTAGCCACCAAGCTCTGATCTAATTGTCCTGCAAGGATAACAGCCTTAAGGGTGGCAGTTCTTGAGCCCAACCTCCTGGAAAAGCGAGGTATAAAATTCCGGCTCCAGCTGCCTGTTCCGGTATCTATTGACAATGTCCGCGATTTTCTGTTTTCGGCGGACGTGGGGGGGGTTGTATGAATCACTCTCCAGCCTCTTCCTCCGACAAATATTTATTACCGTCTGCCGCACTAAAAAACCTGGGAGGAAAAAAGAAAGAATCAAGTTTAAATAAATCCAGTTAATCCTCCCGTTGCCGGTTTTGCAGCAGGAAGAAGCTGCGAGTTCAACCTCCGGCAGAAATCTAGGGAAAATGAGCAGCAGCACCAAATCAGGAACTGGTGTTCACAGGGAGTTAAGCAGATAATCACAGTCTCTAGAAATGTGGGTTTTTTTTTCTCCTCTGTGAAACAGGGATAAGAAAGGAATGGAGTCAGTTGTACCCTGAAAGGCCTGGAGGAGGAGGAGGAGGAGCAGGAGGAGGAGGTTCCCTCTGGCTGCCAGGGCCAGGGAAGCTCCCTGAGCACCGACAGGGCCAAGAGGCCGCGGCAGCTCCCGGCGCCTGGAGGCCGTGGGGACGGCAGCGCTGGGGCTGCTCCGAGGTGCCGCTGAGCGAAGGCAGGAGCCTCCAGAGCCCTGATAACTGGGAACACAGGCGCGCACCGCGGGGACAGCGGAGCCACGCGGGCTCTGCGTGGGGGAGCAGCAAACACTCTGCAGGCTGTGGCTTGGGGCAGAGGCTCCCCTGCCCCTCGCTGCTCTGCTGCTGCTTGCTGCCCTGCCGTGCGTGACACCCACGGACGCGCGGGGGGCACAGAGCTCACAACCAAGGCAGCCAACGCATTCCGTCAGAGCTGGCAGTGGATTTTTGTCCTCTTTCACTCTAAAATTAAATTTATGTGCATCTTTGTAATAAAGCACCCGCTAACCCCTTTGCTGTTTCCCAAGCAGAACAAATTATTTTCCTTATTTAGGCAACTTGATTCCTGACAGCAGGCAAACCGCATGTGCTGAGCTTGGAGAGAGGATGGATTTCAGTATGTTTTACTCCTGATGTCATGGAAAATAGCAGAGCAAGCCTAGCAAAACGCACCTGATACTTTTTCAGTACAGCCTGTTGTCACCAGCTGAATTCCCTGGTGTTATTTCAAAGCCCATCACTGAATTAAACAGGCAAAACCAGAACCCAAAGGTCACCCCGGTGGGTCCCTCCAACACTAGTTTCTAGTTGTGGGGGAAGCATTCTGGTGTCTACTTGTTTGCTTCACTTTATTTTCTAACTGGCTCTCACTGGTGGGAGGTCTCCAGTAACGGCAATGGTAAGAGCACAGATAGCCAAGGTAAAGACAGCAGCCCACCCAGCAGCCCAGGCAGAGCTGGGAGCCGCACGCATCCTCCCTAACACACGGCAGCACTTGCCTGCATATTCCCTTAAAATGTGCATGAATACGTTAAGGAAGATCCTCAGTGCCTGTAGCTTTCCATCGTTATCCTGCTTCTAAAACGCAAGGATGGCACAGCACGTGCCAGCGCGGCCCAGGAACTCGGCAGTGCCCTCTGTGAATCAAGCAGCAGCAGCACCTCGGGCTCTCGCACACACAAACCTCAGGGTCTCATTCCAGACCTCTCTCCACCTGAACATGCCCCATCCCACATCACAGCCCCCGGCCCCGCGCCCGCTGCCGCAGTTACAGCGCGCGGAGCTCCGCTCTCGCTCCGCTCTCGCTCCGCTCTCGCCCCGCTCTCGCCCCGCTCATGGTGCCGCCGGCCCAGCCACGGAGCTGCTCCCTCTGCTGCTGCTCCTGCTGCTGATCCTGCAAAAAGGGTGTCTTTATTTCGCTCCATCACGCCGGCAACCCACGTCAATGAAGAGCTCTGGGCCATGTATTTTTCAGATATATTATTGCCTGCACACTGCAATCACGGGACTCTCCTTCACTCTAATCTCCATTAAACTGCTGGGATCAGCCAGATTCCAGTGCAGTAACGTAACAGAGCAGGGAAGCTCATGGTGCTGACCAAGCACGGAGGGGGCCTGGGTCTCGGTGACCCTTTGGAGCAGCAGTCGAGCGGGATCGGTGCCGCAGCGCCGCGCGAGCGGAGCAGCAGGAGCAGAGGGGAAGGCTCAGGCCGAGCACCGAGCCACCGCACGGGAAGAGGAAGAAACAGAAAGAACCAAGTTCCTGAAAATGGGCTGCTTACCAAGAGCTCGCCTGCTGACTATCATTCCATCCACCAGTGGGATCACCATATTGAATTTCCCAGTAGCTCCTTGCAGTTTTATTCTGAATAAGCCAGTGTTTAAAGGATGGATGAAGATCACAGGGACTTCTTTCTCAGGAGTGGTAGATCTTAAGGGGAAAAAAAAGCGTGGCTGTTAAATCACTTTTGTAGCAGCATTTCAATTAGTGTCTGGATGAAAAACGGCCACTTTAAAGTGTTTAAAAAAGTCTTCTAAAAAAAGAAGACTTGTGGCTAAACCAGCAGCATTCCTGCATGCATCCTCTGGACTCAAGGATCGTTATGTCAGTTATAATGGTTTTATGATCTTCCATCATCATGGAATTTCAAAGCTCTGCTGACGGGACTTCCCGCCTCCACGTGCCTGCAGTGTCAGCCCTCCCCAAGGCAGGGGATTAGGAGAGCCTGGTCATGGACTCGCAGCAGAAGCTGCACACGTGCTATTCTATGTTTCAATCACAGTGATACAGAAAGTCCTTCAGCTTTTCCACTGAAAAAAAAACCTCTGCTGAGGGAAATCATACGTCTTTCTTAACAAAAAGGCAGGAAAAAGGAGAAGAGTTGTCTTACCTTAGGGAAGTGCTACTATTTGCTGTGGTTTCTACACCAGTGCTAGTTTCAGACACCAGATCGGGGAGGGGAAAGTTTTCTGAAAGAAGAGGATGCACAGAATAAAGTTGAGCGGCGCGGTTAATTTTCGCTGTGCAACCCAGGGTTGGTTCTCAGCAGTCAGCACAGGCCCCGAGCACGCACAGCACCAACGTCGTCACCGCCGCGATCGAGGCCCACGTCTCTTGTGGCCTGAGCAGCGCGTGGAGGGCCTAGACCTCATGGATCCCGTGCCGCACGGATGAGGTGACGCTCTGCAGACCTGCAGCTCCCCCCGTCCCCAAGGCCCCAGTCTCCGGAGGGACTCCGAAGGACAGTGAAAAGGCAGGAACATATTTCACACCCACATATACAGCTTTCAAATCATTCTTAACTTCCTATCTGCAACAGGCAGCCGCAGGAAGGGTGTTCTGAACAACCCTGCTGCTCACACCTTCAGTTACCTGGAGCCTCTCAAGGCAGCAGCGATTTCCCCTAGCAAATCACCACATCATTCCTCAAATCCTGTCTCTGCAGATCCTCAGCATGAACCTCCCATGCTGGGCTGCTCGGGACACAAGTCCCAAGGAAAGGAAGGTGCAAGGAGAGGACACAGGAACTCAGCTCCCCGGGAGATGCCATCCGCCCACGCAGGGGCAGGAGCCGAGGGACGGTACCGACCGTTCACAAGCACAACGCGGATGAGGGCAGCTCCAACACCCCTTCAATGAAGGGAAGGGAGCACGAGGCCCAACAACACCCTCTGCCATCAGAGGGAGTGCTTGGTGTACACGAACCTTGGATGTAGCAGAAGGAGAGCATGGAGGATCCTGCACATGTTCCAAGATGAAGCAGTCCCTGGGCAAGCACCTGGCACTGGGGTCTGAGCCCCAGCTCTGGGGCAAAAGCTTTTCTATGGTTCAGATTCAGATGGACCAAGAGCACAAAGGCAGAAACAAGAAGCAGCAGCCCCATTTGCCCTGAGCTAGAAGCCATTTTCAGGAGTCTTCCTCAAAAAATCCAGAGAGTGAAGTTTACTGATGCCCACGGCCTCATTCCTTCAGCTTCAGGCCCAAGTCCCAGGAGATTCCCGCAGCGGCTTCAGGTGGCAGCTGAGCAGAACGTGCACGGGAGCAGGGGCCCGGCCCGGCCTTGGGCGACGCGCTGCCTGGGGGCCGGGGGCACAGACACCAGCGCAGGGACCCGAAGCGCCTGAGGGAACCGCCACAGCTTAGAGCAACCCCCTCTGGCCTAGAGCTTGGCCAAGGAAGAGATGCTGCCAACCTCGATGCCACCTCCTGTTCCCAGGCAGACCTCTATAATACAAGTCTTTGTGCCAGGCCTCAACAGAGAAGCAGAAAATTCAGACCTGGAGTTTATGGGAAGTTTTCTCTCATTTCTCCCCCTCTTGGTTGCTTCCTACCAGTGTATCAGGCTTAGAAATCAGAGACAGAAAAAAAGTATCTGTTATTAGCCAGTATTTTATGTATTTCTGGGCTAGGCCAGTACAGACACCTCCTCATACAAAGGTAAACCTGGGCACAGAGGCTTAGAAACAATATGCAAGGAACTCCTCGGGACCAAGGACTTCTCAAGCCTGGAAAGACAAGTGCCGAGGGCCCACGCAACGGCGATCACGAGGCGGACAAGGGTGAATCCCTCCTCCCAGGTTAGCCCAGCATCAAGGACAGTCAAGGAGCAAAGACCAAACGCAGGCAAGCATTAAGTTAGCACGAGAGCAGGATGCTGCCCGAAGGAAGCTGTGCGGGAAGGAACCCAGACGGGCACAGCAGAGGGCACAAATGGGCACCCTGAGCACAGCGCAAACGAGCTCTCCCACGAGAAAGAACAACAGAGCCAGCTGCAAAGGCACCAAACCAAGAACGATGGTTCCTTTTGCACAGAAGCTGTTGTGCAAAGATAAAGTGACAGAAGACCAGCTTTTCTATAGGAAGAACAACTCCATTGTGGGAGGATCTCACCTGGTGTGCGCAACAGCCTTGTGCGTTAAGCTTAACGAGAAGATGCATGAGATGCATGAGGACATCTCACACGTATTGCCAGAGCTGAAAGACTAAATTTCCAGTCCCATGTGCTGGCAGTTCACCTACACTCCATGGATCATCATTTGAGTGTCAAAAAACTATTTTAGAATCTTTAAGTGTCAGTTACAGAAATTAATAAGAATTTAGCATTTTTATAAAGAACTGGAACTGAGTTTATACTCTGTTTCCTGTATTCTGCCGTATTAGTGAACAACAAAAAGTTCTACTCACCTATGTCATCGTAACGTTCAACCCAGACGACGTACACTTTGGTTTCAGGTCCCATTGGTGGAATGGTCCGGCCCTGAGGTACCCTCTTGGATCGGGAAGTAGGACTGAGCTGTTGGGAGAGCAAGGCAAGAGGGGCAGTGGCCAAACAAGGAGCACAGGGACGGTGCAGCAGGCACCTCCCCAGCTCCACAGGGACCCTGCGGCTCCCCGGGTCTCAGACTGCCGTCACCTCTGCCAGCTGTTGGGAGCGCTGCAGCGGAGCTACCCAATTAAAATCTGAAATCTGGATCTCCTGATATTAACATACAATGTAAATTAGAGAAAAGCTTCTTATTTCTTTTAATGTTAAAAGGAAGAGCAACTATTTTCCCCTCCCTAGCTTTGCTGCACACAACAGCCATGGTCAGTTCCACAGGTGCCAGGGATGGTGCATGAACACTGAGGTGTTTCCATGCCACTGCTGCAGCGCCAGTGGCATCAAGTCCCCACTCTGAAAAATTCTTTTATTGGAGCATTTTTAAATGCTGTAATTCCACTATTTCAGAGCAAATTTTCTCACTGCCCAAAGTAATACAGCTTTTCTTGCTAACTTTCCCACGTGATAAAATTATTTAACCTGACTGGGATGTTTTTCACCTTACACAGATTGCCCCAGTTTTACTGTGTAGACACATGTATTTGTTTTCTGCGTCAACTTCAATAAAAATGCAGCTAGGCAACTACAAACATTTAGATTGCATTTGTTGACTAACACAATATTTACCTTAAAACTCATTTTGTTACCATTCTCAAAGATCCTAAATCGGTAACAAAATGCGCACTGAGACAGAATTGGTATTCAAGAAACACGTAGTGAAAATCCTTCCTAAACCTTTACAGAGTTCAGGATTTTCTGCTTCTATAGTTTTGCTACCACAGAAAATGAACTTCATGCCAGATCTTCAGACATAACTGACTCACTCACTCACTGGACTGAGTGACTCCTGTTCAGCTTGGAGAAGAGAAGGCTCAGAGGGGATCTGATTAACGTGTATAAGTTCATGAAGGGGGAATGTAGGGAGGAAGGGGCCAAGCTCTTCTCATTGGTGGCCAGTGACAGGACAAGGGGTAATGGGTGCAAGCTGCACCATAGGCAGTTCCATCTCCATGTGAGGAGGAACTTCTTTACTGCGAGGGTGACAGAGCCCTGCAACAGGCTGCTCAGGGAGGCTGTGGAGTCTCCTTCTCTGGAGTTCTTCAAAACCCGCCTGGATGCCACCCTGTGCCACATGCTCTAGGTGTCCCTGCTTGAGCAGGAAGGTTGGACTAGATGATCTCTAGAGGTCCCTTCCAACCTCGAACATTCCGTGATTCTGTGACACACCAGTAACTATTAATATGGCATTTTAAACCGGATAGATATGAAAACCCTCCCAGTTTACCCACCCTGCATCTCTGAGGCATGGATTACAGGACAATTTACAAAATATTTTGCAAATGCATCCATAAAACTTATCCTTCCCGCGTTCCGAGATTTTAGAAGGTCATTTTTACTATTTTGCATATTTAAATTTTATATTCAAGCAATGCAACCTTGCAGTCTCCTACTGCAGATGCAAATGTTGACAAGACCAGGAGCTGCTGTTAGAGAGCAGTAGTCAGGAAAGAGCAACTCCAAATACTAAGAAACTGCGTCCTATGCTCCCAGAAAATGCTGCAGCATTATCAGTGTTTCCTGCAAAAAAAGATATCTACACACACGTGAATGCCAGTTTTCAAGGCAAATTGGGCCTTACCCGCTGAGAGGGATTAAGATTGTCTGTATGATTGGGGAAGAGTTCAAGTGTCAGAGGTGGCTGCTTTAGTATCCCTGGCAGGAGATCCATGTTGGAGTCGCTTTCTTGGTCAGAGACATTGCTTTCCAATGAATCACCTGGAAGGCAAAAGAAAGGTAGGTTTTGTCTTTTCTTCTGACCCAAAATCTAACCTATATCAAGATTTTTGAAACAAAACATGCTTGAATTTATCCAGAGTGCACAAGTCTGGTAAAAAGGAGCTGGGAAGGAAAGTTTCTGAATGCTACAGAGCCAAGGGAAAGCAGGACGAGAAAATACTAAAGTGGCCCAATGAAGGATTTGCCCTTTATATATATATATACACATATATATATGTATATATATGTGTGTATATATATGTATATTTATATATGTATATATTTTATATATGCTTTCAAATTCATGTGCATTTCACAACTACAGCAAATGCCAGAAAGCAGTCAATATCCCCAAACATTCACAAGCCAAACGCAGCTCTGACCCTAGCAGGACACCATCTGCTACTCATATTTGTCCCACCTCGGCATTATCGTGGTCGGAGCCCCGACCCAAACCCAGGGTTTGAAAAGGCCTCCTGGCCATTCTCCTGCTTCCTGGGAAGCCTCTGAGGCCACAGGGACACAGTGCCCAGGGGGTTCAGCAACGGAATCCACCAGTTATCCCAGAAAGCGCCTGCATTTAAAGTGCTCCGGACGGACTAGGAAGGGAGAGACCATATTGCACAGGAAACCTGAAACCAGAAGGGATATTTCTAAGAACATCATCTCCTCCAAGCTGCTCTATTCTGGAGAACTTTCCAAGGATTTAAGGGAAGCTCCTGGTCCCGCTGCGGCGAGCGGGCGCTCGCTCTGGCAACGTGCTGCAGAAGCGTCTCCTGGAGCTGAGCTGACCTGAACCACGGCCGCAGATCACAGCCAGGTACAGACCCAGGCACACGGCACCTGCGTGGCCACGCAGACCTAGGAACTCAGGCTTGAGATGGGACCAAGACCACCTTCAGAAGCGCTCCAAGCATGACGGGATTTTAATTTCTACACTAGTAGTTTTCCAACAGGGATCTTGGTGTCTGCACTACTAGTCGGCTTATTTGGGTTCTGGTTCTCACAAAGATCTCTTAAGAACCATTTTTAAAACTTTCCTTTTGTTTCTGTTTGTTTTTTTAAACAGTGTGCACACGCAGCAATCTTACTTAGGGACTCCACGGGCGATGGGACGACAAAAGCTATTTCTGTCAGAGCATCAGCATAATACAGCACTTTCTTCTGCCCATTGAAGATATTCGCCCCAACATCTTCTGAAATAACTAGATCATCTGAAAAAGAGACAAAAGCAAGGTCTAGTCAAAAGGAAGTTAACTCTTATTTTATGCATTTTCTCAGGAGAAGACTTTCAAACACAAGGTCCAAAGAATTACAAGAAATATTTGAAACGTTAAGGTTTCAGACAAGTCTCATTGCTAAAACTGATTCTCAAAACATTTGGTTGCTATCTTGAAGCAATTAGTATTCTGACTAGAAAACAGGATCTTTTCCAAGCATAATCCCCTCAGACTAAGCAGCCCGAAAGCTTGTCCAACACGAGGAACCAGCCGGGAGCTGTTTCCACCCCTTCCTTCCGACAGAGGCATCCTCATTTGGCTGTTCGACATTAAATTTTCAAAGGTCTCTTGCATATATAATTGCAACCCAACACTCTTCTAGAGTTTAAGCCAGATTCAGAGATTCTCCCTTAGATGCTTAGTCAGGGAACAGCCACCTCTTGCATGCAGGCTAACTTGTGAAGCTCCTACTTCACAGCACCAAGCAGCAGATGAGGCTGCTTGGTGCAGCACAGTGCAGAGCAGTGGTTCTCTGCTGGAGCCGATCTGCGAGGCACTTACAGAAACATCTCTTTTCCCTCCCTACTCCCACCCCAGACAGAAGAGTCAGGTCTTCCAGCTGAATTACTGCTCTGATCTGGCTTACAGCAGGGCCCCAGGATCAGCTGCCTCAGCAGAACCAAGGGGCAGTGAAATCCAGCGCACTGACAGGGCGAGTGGCCGGAGGAAGCAGGAGCTGCTGAAGGCTGCTTTACCAGTGCCGAAACACTCCTAAAGATTTCCAGCCCACATCTTTCAGGAAGCAGGAGCCCAACTGCAATCAAACTGCTTAAGAACGTCTTTGCTTTAAAGTATACGTATCTGCTTTTGATTCCCCCACCCCCAGTAGGACCTTGTTGGAAACTCTTCTGCAGTCTTGAAATTAGTTTTTACCATCAAAGCCATTCACAAAGAGCAATTGCATTTAGTAAAACAGACAGGTTAAGCCATAGACAAGGTTCTGGAGGAAAATAAAGTGAGCAATCTTCACAAGGCTGCCTTCCCTCAATTACCCTTTCTGCTTTTCAGCCTTTGCCTGCTAAATCTGTGGTTCCACTCTGGTCCTGCACTCTGAGAAAAACAAACCCACGCTCTGGTCATTTTGGAGCCCCACACGAGTTGTTCAGACCCCATGCCTCTGTGCTCTCAACCTTTCCCAATAGGCCCAAAGCTTCTTCTGCAGAACGTTTGGAAAGCCTTCAAAGAGAAGGGGATCACCATGAAAAGGTCTGTGGCCCTTAGAGTAGTGGAAAACCTTCCAGACATGAACCAAACTGAGGACACGAGCAGAATCTGCGGATAATATGGTTCTGTTGTTTTCTCAGTGTAGAAATTACTTGACTTGCAGGTCACCATAGTGGAACAGCAGCTAGAGGAACACTACCCTGAGGATCGTTTTGGCTGACAGAATGGGCAGAGGACAGTATGAGACAAGCCCAGAACAACAACTGCTTCAGTAGGAAAACCGGCCAGTGAAGCAGGAGGGGAGGAGAGCCACGTGTGGGCTCCCAGCACCACAAGCTGGGAACACCGGTTTGTTTACAGCACACTTCACCAAGCATGATCACCACACTAACATATTTGGCAAGGTCTCATTTTAACCTACTTACAGAACACTAAGAATCATAAAATATTTCAAAGTGCGACTGCTGGTGCAGCAGATAATACAATGAGTAGCCCTGATATCACCTTAGGTTTTAGATTACAGATAAGACTCACTGAGACAGCTAAAAATATGGTGCTTGTTGCTGAGACTACTTCCTCTCAACAAAATGCACAGACATTTTATTACTTTGATTTGCAATTTTCTCTAATGCTTATATTTAAATATACCTTTCTGGTAAATGTATCTCAAAAAATGTGCAAGCACTTAAAGAGGTACCCAGCAGAGTTAGTCAGCTGTCTCCTAAAGGAGCCTAAACATTGTAACTTAGGGTTACTGTATTAACCCTCTCTTACCTCGTTCACACCCTTCTTCATCACTGCAACTATTGATGGACCAGCTCGTGGAGACGTGTCCAGTCCAGCCCGGGTGCTTCCCCACCTCAACCGACCAGCCAAGAGACAGCAAGAACTCCAGGAAGTGAGGCTGAACAATTCTGGAAGACTCCATGTTCTTCAGGATCTGAAACAAAAGCAGTACCAAGATATATACAGGGCACGGCAAGAAGCAGCTCTTCTGTTTGTTTTTTTTTTTCTTTTTTTTTTTTTTTTCCTTCCACTGTGTCACCAGTTTGGTTTTGCCCAAATATACCCAAATGTGCAAGCCTGGACTCTCCTGCCAAGTCCATGGACACCAGGCCCTGCTGTCCAACATTCTCCATCCTGCCCAGCAATTCTCTGTTCGGTCAGATTGCCTCATTGCTGAAGCCTGTTAAGTAGTTAATCACGCTGCCTCAAACAGCAGTTTTGAGATTTACCCAAGGCCCAAGGGCTAAGAAACAGAACTGCTCAGCGCTGAAACCACATTAACATCTGAACAGATATCGCTGCTACACTGTGCTACATTTTTAGGAGGACTTTAGGAGACTATCATCACTACTAACCTGTACATGATATACAAAGACTGAAAGACCAGGCCTCAAAGTTCAATTAGATTAAATTATTTATTATTAGATTAAATTATGAAGTAGACTTTGCAGAGGTTTGGGGGAGGACTGAACAGGCACTTCAACCAAACGACACTGCAGTTCACTTTCCATCTCAATCTCCTTTCCTGCAAGGACCGGGCACGTTTCCACCTCCACCTTCCAATCCGTCCACTGCACCGCCGGCTCCGTGTGCTTCTGCCCCATGTGCTTCTGCCCCGGGTGCAAGCAACGCTTGTGCTGCGGGCAGTCAGCTTCTCCCCCAGCCATGGGCTGACTCGCAGCGAGAGCGACGCTCTCGCTGCGAGTCAGCCCATGGCTGGGGGAGAAGCTGACTGCCCGCAGCACAAGCGTCGCTTGTACACAACGTCAGAGGTTTCTAACTCAGGTTAGAGAAACTGTTCTAGACTGTGCAGCACCAGAAGAAAACAGCCCTCATTCCCTGGGAAAGGAGTCAGATCCCCTTCTTAAATCAGAAGTAGGTCCTGAGTTAGGGTTGCACCAATGGTCTCTCCCTTATGCACATTAAAACCACGAGGGCTGCACGGGAGCAGGCAGCTCTCCCTGCTCCGGGCAGAAACCACGTCGCGGTTTGGCTCCTCTCTTGACTGCACTCGGCCGTTTACGGCCACCCCGAGCAAGCACCATTACAAAAGGTCTTCATCTGATGTAATATTAATATTGAAAACAAAACATGACAGAAATAAGTCACAGCTCTTTTCAAACATGGAAACAGTCTCCCTTTTTCACTCAGCTCAGGTCTGCAGAGATAGGTACAAATAAAATATTAACTCAGCTATGTCACTGTGACTTTGCACAACTGGAAACAAAGCCAGGATTCCTGCATAACAGGAAGCACAGCACAGTGTCTAGGGACCTTGAAGTCTGAGCATGGAGTTTATACTACCAGACAAAATAATATCCAGAATCTCTCGAACAGGGAAGATGTTTAAATCTACAAGACAAAATCCACAAGCACAGACTGCTAATTGGGTTCCCAAAGGCCAGCTAGCAGAACTACATCATTTCTGCCACTAAATCTCATCTGTCTAAACCCGTAAGAGCAGATAACACCATGAGAAAAGCCAAAAAGCAGCAGCTGGCTGAGCAAAACGCCGGCACTGGCACCGGGGCACATCGGCGCGGCCGCGGGGCTGGCTCGGGAGGCAGGGGCGCTGAGCGGCCTCCCCCGGCCTCTCTGTTGAGGGCTGCCAAGCAGCACGATCCCGGCTCCAAGAACTCCTGCAGCCCACTCGGAAGTCGAAGGTGCTGCTCTGTTCTGTGGATTGCACATGGGCAACAAAATGAGGAGACGCTCACTACAGTGAGCAGAAGCTTTTACATTTTACTATGAGAATTATGTATGAAATGAGAAGGTATTCCAGAAATTTCTCTTTCTAATGAACCCTTAAGTCATCTTAATTTAGGGACTTTCCAGGTCACCATTTAAAGAAATCCTGGCTTCGATTTGGACAAATATTTTTTGTTTTGTTTGCTGATTGATCAACATTTGAAAGCAAGAAGTATAATGTAAAGAGTTATAAAGCAATAATACTTTCTTGTAGAAAGTTTTTCAATTCATTGACGTGTTTTTAAAACAAGAATCAAAACAAGCTACCGGGAAGCTGCACATAGCTAAAACAAAATGCAGCTTCTTTTTTTTTTTTTTAATCTGTAGGACGAAGTACGTAAAGACACTTAGCAATGCAGTGAGGGCTTGTTAAAGCACTCCGGCTATCTAGCTACCCATCCGCCTGGAAAAGTACAGAGGGACTTACTGCAGCTCAGGTAGCAAATGAACAGAGCCCCCAGTCCCAAGCTCCAGCGCTCCGCTTTAGTCATCGGGAGTGCTGCTTTATTCACACCGGGCTCATTAGAAATGGGCAGTACATACTCATTAGCACTGTTCACTTTCACTCATTAGCACTGTTCACTTTCACTTACTTCCTGGCTTGTTTTCTGGCCTGCCTTCATGTAGAAGATGAAAACTGTATCAAAAGGGCGACACGGCAATAAATCCAAATAGCCAAGGTCATCAAAAAACCCCGGCAGAGCAGAGTCAAGTGCAATCAGGTGAGGAGGTAGACGACTGTTAGCAGGTTCCTATCGAACAAGCAGAGTTCAATAGTAAAAATAGTGTTTTCCATCTGAAAACATTAAAAATAATCCACGAAAATAGTCACAAATTGCCCCTTTTTAAGCTTGAAGTAACACACGAACTTCTGATGTTTGTGTGTTATATAATATCATCCTGTTGCTCTAAGTTTGCCACAGCAGCCATAACATGAGTTGAGAACTTGTTGCACTCTATTATCTGCATTAAATAATAGGTATTTTACAGTAAAACAATACTAACAGTTTGCTCAAAAGAACATTCCCTCCTGCAGTAAAACAAGCAGAGATTTTAATAACATTAAATGTATGCAGTCGCATCACAACTAATTTTGTACTTACTGATAAGATTTATATAGGAACTATATTTAAAATGCTTAGCATTTTTAGACTTGTTTTTGCAAAAGTTCCGTTTTCTACTACTCATGAAAGAAAAATGCAACAGATAAAAAGGAGCATCCACAAGTACAATGTAGACTTCACATTTAAGAATGCAGATCGTCTCTACAAGCCATTATTTGACTTTAAAGAGAAAAAAACCGAGACTCTCTAAAAAGCTCTGTAGAGACGCCTAGGTGGTTACGTACTAGAGATGAACCCTCTCTAGGTGGCTACGTACTGGACCCATCTCTTCAGCAGCGTAACCGCTGAGGCAGAACATTTCACACAGCAACTTTTCAGAAATGTTCACAGAAGGACCCTGCGCCTAATCCAAACTGGGAGAGTGATTTCAAGAACAAGCAGCGACGTGAGCTTAGGCATTTCCCGCAGAACCCAGGGGTGACGGCGCCTTTTCCCAGTGTGTGCAGCTCAAGGCCGACTCCTTCACCACCCAGATCCCAATCCCGGGAAACTCGGGAATTCAGCAGCCTTTCTAAGCAGCCCGCAGCAGCTGCCAGAGCACGTCACATCTCCCACTAGCTGCACGTGAGCTCCCCTCCTGGGCCAGGCTAACGCGCAGTGGGACCGCACTGGAATTGGGAGGTCACCTTCAATGCCTCTAGCGAGAGGAACCCGAAGTGGGAGAGGAAGAGGCGGGCGGTCTGGAACTCCTGCGCAGGTGCTGGGGGCTTGCACTCTGTGACGGGATCGGGAAAGCTCTTCTTGCGCCACTCCTCTTCGCTCTTCTGATCTATGGAAGTCTCAAAAACGATCTGCTGGGCCATGCCATTCCTCAGCTTCTCGTGCCGCTCCTCCAGCTGGAAAACACCACACAGCCATGGAGAGCGGCCTCCCCGTGGCCTCCTCGTGCCGGGCAGCAGCACCAGGGCTGCCCCAAGTGCCAAGGGGGGCAGCTTCCCGCAGCCCTGCAGGGCCCTGCACACGGCCGGGCGCGGGTACGCACACCAGCACCAACCTCCCCCTTCAAAGGAACCCAACTACAGCACCCTCCAATTAAAAACAAATTCATTTGGCACTATCAAATTAAAGGAGTCCACCAAAAGGACTCACAAACACCCTTTCCATTTCCCCAGAAGCAGCAGCAAAACAACAAACACGAGCTGCTTATTCACAGCAGTACAGGGTGTTAGGAGGATCTGGAATAAAAGCTGTTGAGCAGTGGTCTTCAAGATCGTGTTCCTGGCATCGCCATCTTCCCTGGCTAGAGCAGAGATTTCATCAGTTTGCAGGGTTTATTGTTCCATCAGGATGAATTAGTAATATATTTAACAGTAAGGAATTAGTGTGCGATTCATGAATAGGCAAAAAGGGGAAGAGCAAAATGAAGTCAAAGACTGGAAACCACTTACTTCCTCATTCACAATTTCATGTAAATCGGGAATGCTCAAGTCAGCTTTCACAAAGGGAATCTTGTCCACCTCCTCAGGGAACGGCCGGTGTTTCACGCTGTATCTCAGTCCAACATCGTTTTTAGGAGCTGGTCGGGATTCTGGTACAAAGCTCTGCAATTAAAAAAGGGGAATTGTTTTACACCCCAAGCTTCTCCATTAGAGAACACATTATTACTGTAAATGGAAACTGTTTCCCTCCTCACCGTCACCACAAGTTTACTAGTCCATTATTGAGAGTTATCATCAAAAATTATTTGGGAAAAATAACTAAATTTGTATAGATGCAATTAAAATTTGCAGTCTGTTTTTTAAAGAGCATACAGCTCTACCCATTTTGGTGGTTGCAGTCGTGGAGCCTGTGAGCTCTGCCCACCAGTGAATCTCTCATCAGTTGCAAATCCCCATGAAAAGGGTAGGCTTGCAAGCCTTTCTCCTTCCTTCTCCTTGGAATAAAGCCCACGCTACCTGTGTTGGGGGGCAGCTAACGGCTGCCTGGGAAGCCTTCATTGTAGCCCTACTAGCTTTAGTGAGCTCTGCAAGTTAAGCAGAGGAATGAATGCTGCAGAGGGAAGGAGCAGTGTCACACAGCAGCCGCAGCCAGACACACTGATGGGGCAAGGAAAAGGCTTCTCTCATCCATTTTAATACCTTAGTATCTTAATTTTAAGCTGGTTACTACATCACGTTCTAGATGGTGCTCTCAGTGACCCAAAAGTTGAAGTTGCCAAGGAGAGCAACAAAACGAAGACTCAGGAATAGGTTTGCTTGAGGTCCAAGCAAGCGAAAATTTTAATTGTATATTGACCTTCACCTTCAAATACATTTCAAAATGAGCAAAACCTTATCTAACGCCGAGTTAGAGAATGCCTTTAGGTTAGAAGGGATCCCTTAGAGCTGTTAAGAAGGGTCCCCGCCACGCGTGACTCTTGGCTGGCGTGGCAGGCAGCCCGCTCGGACTGAGCACGTTCAGCAAAGCAGCTTGGTGCCAAGGCAGCCCCAGAGTCACAGACGTGCCGCGTGCGCCCAAGTCCCGCTCTGCCCAAATGTTACAACGACAACTGACACCAACAGGCCCTTTTACTAGGGGGCCTAGACTACAGTCTAATTTCCCTTACTTTATGGAGAAAGACATGCAAAGAGTTGGAAGACTTAGGGAACTTCACAAAGCAAGACATTTTGATGACGCAGAAGGACATACTCTGTCAAACAACTGCAATGACAGGCTCTATTTGAAAGCAAGATTGCTTTTTTTCCTGCCCAGAGCCATTCACAGAGTCCATGCTCTGACAGGAGGGAATTCTGCACTTGTCAAGCACGTTACAGGCAGCGTTTTGACCCAGGGCTTTCTGGCTTTAACAGCTGTTCTCCCGGCAGCAGCTCGTACTGCACGAGAGGCTGTTCCCTCTGCTGCAAGCGCTCTGCCTCACAGCCCACCTGAGCACGATGCTGCCACCAACACGGCCGTGCAAACGGAGGGAGATCTGCTCTCCCCGCCTTAAACAAAAATCTAGAAGTTAAGACACTTTCACAACCTACATTGAATATTAGCACAAGTCATAAAGAGTCACCAGAGATGTGTCACATTACCTACAGCTAAAGGACCCGTGGCTCAGCCTTAACGTATAATCACCAGCTGTGTGGGGCTGTCTCACATTAGTGGAATTTCTGCTGAACATCTCTAAGTTAAAGATTTCTGTATGGGCTTTGATAGAGACCTTTTGATTTGCTTTAGCTCCTCTTGGCAAAAGACAGAGTTGCTGCGCCCATGCAAATCTTCCAGATGTCCCACGGATCAAAATCGTGACAGACGGGAAAGAGTCATCTGTAAAGCACATGAGGAAAAACAATCAGCTAATATATCCTCTTCTTAAGTTGCAAACACTTAATTAAGCAATAATTTAACTGGAAAGAAACGCAGTCATGACCACAGAGATTTCATTTTCAAGGCTGATTCTTCCTCGGATCCTGAATATGCCCCTGGCAGGGAGCGGACAGGATCCTGTTCCTCGCCTTCCCGTGGCAGGAAGCACCAGTCTGCTCAGTAGGAAGCACCAGTCTGCTCGGCCCTGCTCCATCCCAGTGGCACTCGGGCACGCGAACCAGAAGAGCATTTAGCAAGAGCACGAGAACTGTCCCGCTGTTCTAGCACGAGCTTATCCGCTCCAGGGGGGATTTGCTCGGACACAGGCGGTCAGGCAGCAGGCGACGGCTCCAGCAGCAGCGTTAGGTGCAAGACGGAGCTGGAGGGTCTCCGGGAGGCCGGCGGCAGCCAGGGTCACGGCTCAGAACACAAAACGAGGGTTCCCGATGCCAGAGGTTCTGCACAACCTCCAGTTTCAAGACTAGTGTCTAGACTCCTCCTGCCCACAGATGAGGAAAACGCACCTGTGCAGACCAGCAGAGCTCACAGACGTTAGTTTTCAACCCAGCCAACACATAAGACAGTTTTCACCCAGCCTGTTATGTGGCATCTTGATGCCTGAAGATTCACGGAGTGGTTTAGGGGGATGTGTTACTCAGTTCAAGGCATCATGTAAATGCCATCGGGTTTTTCTCATGTGCTTTGCTTGGCCAAAGCACGTGAGACTGGAGCAAGAGTTAGAAAGGAAAATTCAGCTGTGGAAGTCGATACTTGGCAGTAGATCTTCCTTTCAGTAGGTGACATTGATAGAATACGATGACACTCTATGTCAGCTAGGTAAGCTAGGACAGCTCCTAAGCAGCCGTAATAAGCATTTGAGCCGAGAGCATCCACAGAAATGTTCAGCGAGATAGACAAAAATCAAGCAAAAACAAACAAAACAGTGCAGCCATAAAAGAATTAATCATTTGTTGAGCACCACTCCCAACAGAACCTCCTATATTCTTCCAGTTTTCATCTTTTTCTGAACAAGAACTTTTCCACAAACGTAACCCCACTGCTTTTCCGCGTGCGCTGTGATTTAGGGATGCACAGACGCAGGCAACGTGCTGTCACCGGGAGCGAGACAAGGCCATGCACTACTTGATGCGCTTGTGCACGCCTGACTGGCAGGGCCATGAAAGTCATTCCTCCACCTGCACAACTGCCCTCGCACCGAACAGAAACCCCCGAAACACAAAGAGGAGACGTGGGCTCGAGGAAGCAGTTGCGCTTTGCAGCTTCATACAGAGTTTCTGTCAGAGGGACAAAGAAGGAGGAAACCTGGAACTTACTCTGCTCGTTCCCCAGAGGCTGCTCCAGCATCGCAAGGATGACGCTGTTGTCCAAAACAAAGTAACGGAAACTGTGTCTGTTTATGGTGGGCAGGCGAGAATATTTAATCAAGGTGGTTTCATTCACCAGGCTGCAAGGAGAGGCAGGGCCACTGGGAGAAGGAAACGCCCCAAGCAACTGCATAATGCTGCAAATAAGGAAAAAAAGCCATGACAGATTAAGAACACTAATTATTCCACCTCAGCATGGCCCTTCACTCATATTGTTCATTTGTATTTCCTCAAAGGAATTGTCCCATCAGGGCAAGAATTACTTGCAAACTCCCAACAGGTTGTCTTAAACCACAACCGATAGTTTCAGAAAAAGTTTTGAAAGTCAAGAAGAAAAGTAGCCTGCCCACAGAGCCAGTTTCTTCATAACGCAGGGAATGAGGCTACCAAGGCATGCTTTCAGTAAAGCACAAACAACCCATACCCTTGCACAGCGTTTAGATGTTCTTTCTCATCGCAGGGCTAGGCAGCCCCACTTCAGCTGCCCCGGAGCAGCAGCAGGCGGGCAGAGCTCACACACGGGCTGCGCTGCGCTCTCCTCGAGCGGCGGCTCGAAGCTTCCCCGGGGGGAAGCGGCGTTGAGAGCCGAGCGGCCGACAGGGCGAGCGAGTGCCGGCCGTGCCGGGGGCTCACGCGCACGGACACCCCGTTCAGCTCCCGGGGAGCGGCCGGGAGGGCTCCGGGCTGCAGCCCCAGGCGGGAGAGCAGCACGGGGTGCCCGCGGGGACGGGCACGGGCAGGCGCCAGCGCCAGGGCTCGCGGCGCCTTTAGCTCCCGCCCGGGAGCGCGGCGACAGCCAGGGCCAAGGCCAGCACCCGGCCCAAAGGGTAAAGTGGCCAGAGCCTTTCACACGTCCCTGCCCATCACCAAGCTCACCAGCTGGGATCCCAAGTAAAACAGGCTGAACAGCAAAGACGCTTTGGCTGATTCCGTACCATGTTAACGTGGCTTCTGCAGCATCCTTCACTCGCATGGACGCAGGGTTTGGTTCTTTATCTCCTTTGTACTTGACTTCTTGTTCGCTGCTTTTGGATTTGCTTCCTGAAATGCCCAACTCCACAATCTCCAGTACCTCTTTTAAGCAATCCTAAAACCCAAGAGGAATCATAAAAAAAAAAATCATAAAACACAAGCACTCCGACCAAAGTCTCTTAAAGACCTAACAGAGTAGGAATAAAGATTTATATTTTGAATTATATTTTCTCTATATATGGAAGGTATCTAATTACCTTTGTATGCCTATAGGCAATGCTAGAAAGCACTATGGATGAAGCTATACGCAGCATTTTCCACTACATAGGCACAAACCGGTCAAGAGGATTACTAAGAGTGCAAATGAAAAAATGCCAACGCACTCAAAAAGACAAAAATTGCATTTCAGAGATTATATGCAGGGCTTTTAATTAAGCATTATAAGCATATTAAAAAGTATATTAAGTTCTAAACATACTTTAAAAAATCTTGAAAACTGCAAGACACTATTTCCAAAGTTCGTAAGGAAATACATCATTTTATCTAACTCATAGATCACTGTACACACACGATAAAATGAGACCAACAATAGAAATAGGCATACGTAATAAAAACTAAAGGTATGCATATTTCTAGTAACGGTGTGACAGTTGGAAATGCCCACCCATCACTTCCTGTTCCTTTCAAACTTCCCAAGGAAACTTTATCCTGCATGGAGCACTGAAATAACAAGCTGTGAGTATCAAAATGTTAGGGTGACATGAATCCCACTTCTAGCTCTGGAAGACCTGGTTTAGCCAGGGAAGAACTGCAAAAACAAATGACTTCTACTCAGGTTTATCTACTCCAGGTATATCCTGCATTTCCATATTCTTTTCAATTTATTTTTTTTCCACTTCGATCTTTCTTCTTGTTTTCAAGTTTGCAAAACAGGAAGAAAGATCGTTTCTCATTTTACTACAGATGAAGGGTAACTCTAAAGCCAAAATATTCTCATCCAAAACAAAATTGAGAACTACTGTACAAAGAAACCGGGTTTGGGAGCAGTGCCTTCCAGCCAGCTGCAGAAAGAGGTATTTCAAGCGGGGAGCAGGGAAGGGCCGGCAAGGCGGCAGCGCCCGGGCGCGGGGGACCCTCACCTTCTCCTCGAGCATGTCGGGGTGCTCGGTGAGCCACACGCAGAGGCACTGGAAGGCGGCCACGATCATGGAGTGCAGGTCGCGCGAGTGCAGCGGCGCCGGGCGGCTGCACTGGTACACGATGTAGCTGCACACGGAGCTGATGGCCCGCCGGCGGTCTGCAGAGTCCACGGCCACCTTCACCTGCGCGCCGGGGAGAGCCCGTCAGCCCCGCGGGAGCAGGGAGCAACGCCCGCGCTCTGCCGCGACTTCAGCTCAAAGACGGGCAGGAAACTTAACAGCGACAGCTGCTGCAGCTCGCAAGGTGGAAGGAAGAGTCGCTTGCTGCCAGCACGCTTGCAGGAAACAGATTTTGGAATTTACACTAAATCCCAGGTGTTGTAAAGACACAACACAGGCAGCCCCGAGCCTAAAGAGGGCTTTGGAAATTGGAAATTGTGGCTTCCAAAGGTCCAGAGCAGAATCAGAACCCTGCTCTGTACTCGGGCAGTAAGAGGTGATGCTCCCTTTTCCCAGCTTGTTTGCTGCTTAAGAGCAAAGAGGGCAGTCCCGGAAGTTCCAGAGGAAGAATCACTTCTGGTGCATGATAACTATACAAAGATTACAACGATTATTACAAAGATTACACTCGGGCCATGCTGGCTCCAGCTACAACGTTCCGCCACGAGCCGGGGAAACGGCGGTTCTGGCTCCGCAGATCCCGCGGCCGAGCGCGGCGCAGCCCGTGGGCTGGTGAGGGCTCTGGAGACTCACGGGAGCCACAGCAGGTTCTGGAGGGTCGGGAAGGGAGGGCATTTTCCTTTCCTCCAAAATAAGGCCCCTATCTTTTTCTTCCGCAGCTGGGCAAATCTCCACTAATTTGAGGAAAGTGGAGAGCAGCTCAGAGCGCCAAAATCGAATCAGAGCGGTTCAACTTGGGCAGACAAGGGTCCGAGGCAGAAGGATAACACCTCCCTATTGCAGATGCACAGCGTAACTTCCCCAGTACGCTGGTACAGCTGCAAAAGGGCCATGGAGCTGCGCGGGGCCCTGGCAGGCTGTGGTGTCCCTGCACGGGACAACCCCCCGGCTCGTGCTGGGCTCCAAGCCCGCAACGCCCCAGCCCGTACGCTGCCCGCTGGGCGCTTCATCACACCTTTTTCCCTTCCCTACAATGTAACCCAATAATCTGGATGCATCCCCAGTAAGTTAAAAAATAAATGAATTATTTTTAGAAGTGCCAGGATGCATGGAAATCTGAGGCCAAGTGGGAGCTATTGGTTCAGCTCATCCAAACCAGCCTCGGACACGCTCCTCATCTCAAACCCTGGCTGCTCTGTGCTGCGGTTTTCTCCTGGTTTTCTGTCCTTAAGGACTCACTGTGTCTGTCTCAGTGGACCAGAAACCCACAAGAGAGTCCCTTTTACCACCACTACCCACCATATACTTCACTGAAAGTCAAGGGGCATTTGCAGGGCACACATCCCTAGAGCTGTTTAGCACCCACACTAGGGTAAGCTAAAGTGCTTCTACAAAAGGCCCTTTTTCTTTGTTGCTGTGTCCAAACACAATGTTTGCTGACCAGCTCTGAGGCTCTTTCGTGGCCTGATTCACCCACACAGGACTACAAGCACGAGAAAGGTCTTCTCTCACCTTTGCCAATCCGGAGAGCAGCTCCAGGGCAGCTAGTGAGATACTCATGTCCTGCCTCCACTGGGAGTTGAGCCTTTGGGTTACCAGGTGAATGCTGCGGATCAGCAGCCCAGCCGCTGTATCTGTATGAAGAGCTAGGATGTAACCCCAATACCACACAACAGGGAGGAAAAATAACTAAGCATTAGTAACAATAAGCAGAGAACGGGCACAAGCCAAAGCAGCCACAATAAGCACATTAATTAAAATTACACACGTCCTGGAAGCTAGATATTGGGTTTCTTTTGCCCAGGCTAATTCTCTGATATGCAATATCAACATATTATATATCTACATTCAGACTGGCTTCTTATCTCAAACCTGTTTTTTAAGCAATTTTACTACCTTGCTATTTGTACGTGGTTAATTATTACTGTAAAAGACGTGCCGGTCACAGCACCATCGCGACGTCAACAGCCACCAACCAACCCCACGTTCTGCCATTGTACTTAAATTGCCGCAACTTCTGGCAATCCCAGAACATTAGCAACGTACAAACACAGTAGATGTGACTTCAAGTATCTATGCCAGAAGTTGCCCCCCACCCTTAATGAATATTGTGAGAGAATACATAAATATCTTGTTCTTTTGTTTTCCCTTCAAACATCCAGCACAACAGTAGCAATTGCTTTCCTAAGTTTCTTGCAGCCTTACCTTGTGCCACCAGGTTTTTTTTTTTTTTTAAATCCAGTAAAATGAATCAACTCAAAAGTACAGGGTTATATATTACAAAATGAATCCTTCAAGTTATAGCATGGTTTAAAAAGAGTCAATAACTCAAATATATAGAAGATAATTTTTAACATTACGGTGAATATTTTCGGTATCCAGAGAGACGCACAAAGCATTTGCTCCCGGAAATCCAAATGAATTCAACATGCAAGTCAAATGGTGTCCTGTCTTTTGACTTTTCCAAACAATTAAGTTTTGCAAGGACAGTGCTAATACATTTATGTGAATTCCTAGAATACCCTAAAAGTTTCCTGATATCCCCCTCATTCCGTTACTTAGAAAGCTAAAGAGTAAAATCCACTTTTGGTTGACAAAAAACGATTTTTCCACCTATACCTACAATGCAACAAATAACAGTGGTCTGTTTTTGTGTTCAGCTGGTTAATAACAATTAAATTACTAGAGACCAAAGGAGCAAGCAAGATACCAGGATCTCCAAACTGAGCTCGCTAGCAACACATAAATTTAGTAAAACACGGATTTTATTTCAAGGGTTCCAAAATGCACGGTGCAGGACATACCAAACCAAGAGGGAAAGGAAAGAGGGAAAGGAAAGAGGGAAAGGAAAGAGGGAAAGGAAAGAGGGAAAGGAAAGAGGGAAAGGAAAGAGGGAAAGGAAAGA